GAGGATGGCTGGTTTGAAAGAGGGTTAAATAGGCCATCTATGTCAAAACTGAACAGCCCTATCTCAACAGCGGGGGCAGGAAAATGACATCATCTATCTCCACTCTACAACACAGTCCTTTCAACAGTTCCAAGATGGCTCCACACCCATTTGCACCACCCAGATGACCCTGATGATACAGATAAACCTCCAAGTAGCCTCAATGACTCTTTAAAAGAATGCAAATGACCAGCAGTCTGCAAGGAATATAAATCCTTCCATTCCCCACCATCCAGTCAGAGCTGAAGGAGCTTCTTGGATGAGAAGTGAAATATCTTCAAAAAACAAACAAACAAACAAGAAAGTCCAGTTGCCTCTTGAAAAAGCACCTTTGGGACAACTATGATGTGGATGACTGAAAATCTCTATAGACATTCAAAGAAGTAGTGCAAAATTGGAAGATGTGGAGAGATCTGTCCCATAGAACCACCAAGAGTTGGATACAGCTGAATGGATAATAACACCATCATCACCATTGGGTAACCTACTGATAAACTAATTATATGAGTTCATGAATGTGTAGGATGAACTTTATTTACCCATTGATGCTAGATCATCCAAGAGTTTTGCCAGGTTATTAAAGTTGAAGAACTATCAGGATGAAAGGAAACAAGTCTGGACCAAAGGATAACCCAGAGGAAATGATCCAGAACCAATCAGATAATGAAATTAAGGAATAATTTAAAAAACTACAGAAATATGCTAAATATATAACTCTGAGTAGCTCACAATATATTATCATAAAAAATCCAATACAAATCAAAACTAATGGTTCCCTTCGCACATACATGTTAGTTGTTTCCAGCTCTAGGGGGCGGTGCTCATCTCTGTTACAAAGCCAAAGAGCCAGCACTGTCTGAAGATGTCTCCGTCATCATGTGGCCAGCAAGACTAAATGCCGAAGGCGCACGGAATACTGTTACCTTCCTACCAAAGTAGTCCCTATTTTTCTACTTGCATTTTTACATGTTTTTGAACTGCTAGGTTGGCAGAAGCTGGGACAAGTAATGGGAGCTCACTCCATTATGTGGTGCTAGCAGTGGTGGGATTCAATTTTTTTTAATACCGGTTCTGTGGGTGTGGCTTGATGGGCATGGGGAAGAATACTGTAAAATCTCCAGTCAGAGGTGGTATTCACTGGTTCTCTGAACTACTCAAAATTTCCACTACTGGTTTTCCAGAACTGGTCAGAACCTGCTGAATACCACCTCTGGGTTCTAGGGATTCGAACTGCCAAACTGACAACCTTTCTGATCGACACTGAGCCACCGCATCCTTTGATATACACTCTATATCACTATATACAGACATAAAGAAAAATAAGGAAGATGCATCCAACAAAAGATCCACCTCAATCCAAGGCTTGGAAAAATAACCAAGTCTTCAAGGCTTTACTAAATGCTATCAGGGTGAAGTCCACATGGATTTTACATTCTAAAGAATAGGCTCTATGACAGACAGAAACCTTGGGAAACTGTCAGTCCCTCAAGTAACCTGGTTCCATGCCATGTAGGGCTTTATAGGTAATAACTAGAACTTTGAATTGCATCCAGAAGAATACTAGCAACCAGTGCAGCTTGCAGAGGCAGAAGTGTTATGTGACCGTCATCCTGCACACTGTTTTCTAGACCAGTTGAGGCTTCAGAATAGTTTTTAAAGGCAGTCCCATGTACAGCACATTGCAGTAGTCAAGCATCAAAGTAAGTAGGGCACAAGTGTCTGTTTGAAAGGCTTCTTGATCTACAAAGTTGCACAACTAATGCACTGGTGGAGCTGTGCAAATTCCCTCCCCCCTTGGTCAAAGTTGCCACCTTCCTTTTGAGCAGGAATCATCAGTTCAGGAGGACCCCCAGATTCCCTGTCATTCAGCAGTGAAAATGGCCTTGCATTGGCTCTGATAATTGTTGAGGATATAACTGCATCATAATTCTTTCTAAGTTATTCCACCATAGTTACTAATAACATTTGTACTATAAATTCAAATTGAGAGCATTGGGCTGGAAACCAAAAGACAGTGAGTTCTAGTTCTCTTAGGTACAAACCCAGCAGGCCAGTCACTCCCTCCCAGCTTTAGGAAGAAGGCAATGGCAAGACATTTCTAAAAACATAGCAGAGAAAACTGTAGATATTTCTTTGTGTTATTGGCATGAATCAAGGCTGATTCAAAGGCACCTAAATAAGTAAAAATATATGTCTAAAAATCCAATTAGTAACTGGAGAAAAGTTTCTGTGCGCAGTATACTTTGTGAAGACATTGCTATATATGTTCAACATTAATAGGATGCATGTATGTAGTTAATAATAATTAAAAACACAAATTAGAACCAAATTTCCATTGAAACTAGAGAAATATGTATGCTTAAAATTCCCCATGGAAATAATAATTCCTTCTGCGTAGACTGCATCTTTATTCTTCCTTACCCATAATATTAAGAGCTTGCCTATACTGTACAGAGATGTGGATATTAACTTGGCCCAGATTTAATTTCCAACTAAAGCAGTGCCTGGTGCTGACAGAAAAATATTTGCTTGGCTGCAGTTCCTTAAAAGTAAACATTAGTGGTGAAGCCTAACCCAATGTAAAAATGTGCAGGGATGGGAAACCCAAATTAATCTTATGCATCCATTTAGGGGATTTTTGTGAGCTAAGATGTTCAGGTCTTTCTATTTCTACCTCACCCAGCCAATCAAGCAGTAAATCTAGTAATCCTGGGGGAAAGAAGTTAGGCATAAGTTTGGGCCTTTGATTTTTGATTGGGTCACTGTCCCACCTATTCTCTTATGAGTATTCTTTTATTAATGCTTGCCAGAGCAGTAAAGCAGGATAAAAAGGAATAAATAAAATGTATTTTTTTCTGATAATGCATACTAATAAATTTGAGCTATTGTATATCGCAAACAGCATTCATCCAAAGCAGATATTTTACTCAATAAAGAATAAGGTATCCCACGTTCAATGGCTATCAGCAAATACTAACAAATGTATGAAATTTGCATTGGGGGGGCAATACTTATAGCAATGCTTCTATTTAATACAATCTTAAGTAGGAGTTCCTGTTTAACTACTTGTCTGATTTGAGAGGTCCTTTCCCCCCTCCCTGAACATGAGTATTGAGGATTTCACAAGAATTTCTTATTCATTCAAACTGTGGAAGAATACTACAATGACAACAATAATATATATATATTTTATAAATTCTCTATTTGCTAAATACTGGTTCACAGAAAGTTGAGCTGCAAACCAGGATGTTCAATTTAAAATCTGCTATACATTTATCTGTTAAATTTAGTAATAATAGTTAATGAGCAATGCTTCAATCCTGGGAACTCGTTCTGGGCTATGTTCTGCACACTTTCTAGGTTATTGTCCAAAAATCTCTTCTTTCCCATGACCTCTCTGTCTTAACAGAATATCACTTTTACAGGATATAGTTTCTCCCACCCAAGTCAAGTTGTGTTTTCCCCTCCAACCTCAGCTATGAATTACATTTAAACCAAAATCAATCAATGACAAGTATCCAAGATGGAAATAAAACCTAATACATTATCATTATCTCATATATTTTACATCTTGAGTAAATATATTTTTGTATCATTAAAGTACACTGATGTCCTTATTTTCTTATAGATAGAAGAACATTATGTTGCAGATGGTCTTCAGCCATTTATTTTGCAAAGCTTGAGTGTTACAATTGAACACAGTTGTGTACTTAGAACACAATTGTTATGACACAAGTCCTGAACTCTGTGGTAATAACTTCCAAACAAGCAAGTGAAGTATTGATGAGGTTGCACACATTCCTCTATTCCAGGGGTGTCAAACTCATAGCCTGCAGGCCGGATGTGTCACACACTGGTGACGCTCACCCCTATTTTAGTGAAGTGGAAAAAAGTTGCAATACATCATGTGATGACAATGTGATACTGTGAGTTTGACACCCCTGTTCTATATGTAAAACAAAGTTATAAGCTAAAATTCTGCACTATACTACAGTTTTGACTACTACTCAGTAAGATGTATAAGTACTTCTGACCTTATTCTTCCAAATAGGGAGAATAGACCCATGTGATAAAATTGTAGTACCTTCATACAAAGCCTTGTTTTCACTGGTGTTCCTAATTTGTATTTAAGGAGCATGCAGTCCTGTACTCACATCCTTTTCATGTGCAAAGTGCTTCCTTTTATACCACAGAGGAATTGAGGACTATTCTATGCACAAAACTTGAGCCCTTGATTCTAAGGGAATTTTGAAAGGTTAATCACATGGTGATGCCAACTATAATAAAGATTTTGGCTGTGGAAAACAAGAATATTATGGCAATCAAGAAATGCTCAAGTTAAAACAAGAAAAATAGATTTTTTTCTCATAAGAATACTTATTTTCTCATTAAACAGTATAACCTTTAGGTGCCCATTGACTCAAACAGATCAGTGTAGGATCATGAGACTGTGTGTTCACACTGAAATGAATGGGATGGACATGCAACTAAATAAATTCATGCAACTAAATAAATCCTTCCTGTCAAAGACAGTGAAATCACCAGATTTTGTTATTTAACCCATTTTTCTCTTTCCTGACAAACCAATAACTCTTTCTTCAAATCTTCCTGGAATTCCAGAGGCCTTACAATCTCAACACAAGTACAAAAATTTCTTTCAAAGGGAAGATGGTACTATAAGTTAGTTTACTTGAAACTCTTTGGTAGGCCAAGTTATTGTTTTTTTTCCTGAAAACCCAAGCAAGCTACCCTGACGTTGTAGTACTGCACCAAGAAGATGCACTTTGGAATTTGAAAGGAAATCTTTTCTAGCAGCATTTTAAAAGCCTTACAATCTTCCTAGCCCCACACTTATGCTTTCAAATGGAGGGCATTTGTATTACCCATTTGAAGTCTTAAACAAATATGAGAGAAAGCATACAAAAGAGGAGAAAGGTCAACAGACAGGAGAGTGACTGTACCTCAGCAAAATGAGACCAGCTCGCAAAAGCTACAGCTTGCTGCTGCCCTCTGAGAAGGCTATTGTCTTGGCTACCATGGGCTGAGCTCTCTTCAGTGTCAAAATGAAAAGCGTTGTCCTCCGCCGAAGCTGAGCATAAGGAGAAACATCCCAGGAAGGAGAATATAGGAAAAAGCAGGGTCCAGGCCAAGATCAAAGCCATCTCCTCCCCTCACATTCAGCAGGGATCTTTCAGCTTCTTGCTTTTTTGCTTCTGCTTTAATTGCCTCCTGGCCCACTTGGTTGAGTGGCGCCTCGGTTATTTTAAGTATCAGCTTCCAGATGTGGGACTTCTAAGTCAATTTGCAACAGTTCCTTCTCAGAAGAGTGCCTTTGCTTTCTTTCTCACTGTCTTTCGGAGTCTGGAGTTCCTCTTTCTCCCTGGAGGCTCTGGCTGAATAACATACAGATGGGCAGTGCTTAACAGAGAGTGTCAAAATGCAGATTGTATTCCAGGAAAGCAGCCTGCACTGCCACCTTATCTCTCCTCAGTCAGGATACAGGCTGAGTCTGGATTCAAAGCTCTGGCTTCCGCCAACTTTTTCAGGATCGTCATTCCCCTTTTCCCTTCCAGCTTGAGAGCCACCCACGCAGCATTCAAGTCAGACCTCCCCACGCTTCCTCTTACATCCCCTACTCGAAACTTATTAAGACCTTGCTGATGATGGCTAACTTTCAGGATATTTTTCAAAGTATCACAGGCATGGAAAACTTGAGATGGGTAGACCCACAGTCAGAAGGATGGTATGGAGAAGTGTTTTTCTTTTTGTCATTTCAAACTTCAAGATGAAATCAGGTACCCAGGAAGTCCTAGACACAGGATCTTTGCTAGAAAATGGGCATCTTCATATTCTTTATTAGATTCTCCTTTCCCCCATTTCTTCTCATCAAATCTGTTTGCTGGAAAAAAAAATTCATTCAGTACCAGTTTAGCAAATGGCTTCATTATGCGATTGCATGAACTTTTATTTACAAAGACCAACTTGTTTTCCTTTTCAAGAGATGCTTTGTGAAGTGGCTGAAACAAGGCTGGTAGTGTGTAAAATTCTGCCAAGTAATTGACTAGGAATGGCCTCTCTATTTCTAGACTAAGCCCCTTGGATCATGACATCATTTTAAAGCATTCTATAGTTTCCAAGACTCTTAGCCGACCGGCACCATTTCCATTAAAATGGCATTATTTACCAAGGACTCTCTCTGCCTTGGTGCCTGCCACCCCACAAGTCTTTCTCCTTGTCCCCAAGCAATTAGCCTTGTCAATCGAGATACTCATCAAAGTATCTTTGCTTCAATCTTTAACTCAGCTATTGAAGAAAAATGATGTCCACAGAAAAACAAAACTTGCTACCATACTTGAAATTATGCTTGGGAGAAGATGCAGTCAGAAAAAAAAAATTGGTCCCAGCATCTGTGCGATTTCTTTGGCCACTTCCTTAAGACCATTAGAGGAGGCCTTCTGGTTCTATTCAGTTCATTCTAATAATCAGATGCATCTAGATGCATGTTCAGATGCATCAGATGCATGTTCAAAATCATGGAATGAATACAAATGATTTGATCCTGACAATCTGTATTCCATGCTCTGCTAACACCCAGATGTAACTAGTTCAGTACAGTGCACTTACACAGGAATGGGGGACAGATAGCTACATTTCAACTTAATAACATTGGATATAGTTATGCCTATCTACCGATCAGATGGTCTTCCTTGCAGAGTTTCTGCTAGTCCCCAGAAAGACAGGTAGCGGAGAACTTCAGATCCAGTAAAAAAAATGCAATGAAGAGAAATAACTGCACTCCCTTTATTTCTCAGTATTGATAGTTTAGAAATTAAGTCTTTCAGATGGAACTTAATTAAGATTGACTTTACCTGACTAGGAGTATACATTGCCTGAATTTCTTTCTATTTACACTTTTCAAGGCTTGTTAAAGGTCTGTAACTCAATAAAGACCATGAACTATTGTGTCTAGTTGGAGCACTGCCTTTAATTGCTTCTAATAGCCCAACCCTTAAAGTCCTTCAAGATGTTCCCTTTGCTAGTGTTTCTATAATATTCTCACCATTATTTACATTGTCTTATTGACTTTAAAGGTTATTTATGTACAAGAAATGCATTTTAAACCCATATAGCAAGGCTGTCAAACTCGTAGCATCGTGTTGTCATCACATGATGCATCCTGACTTTTTCCCCTTTGCTAAAATTAGGGTGGGCATGGCCAGTGTGGGGCGCATCTGGCCTACTGGCCACAGGTTTGACACTCCTGCTATATGGTGTTTCTCCCAATTCTGGAGTTTAAAAATGTAAATGGCCTTTGTTCCACCTGTCTGTGCTATTAAAACACATATCTGAATTTTCTTAACATATCTGAGTGGGTTATAATGCATGTGTGGATCCAATGAGTGCTTTCACTAAATTTACAAATAGCGCTCACATTTGTGTAACTCATGGTCCATAAAATAAGTGGAATTGGGATGATTTGATGCATCCCTTTAAAATGATCCCATAATAGATTTTCTTTTACAATTTAATGGAAATGAGCCCTCCAGTCTCCAGGAATCACTATTGTGAAGGTGGAAGAATTGTGGAAGAATGAAAAGGCAATTTTGCACTTGCCAGTCTTGCAAGAAAACAGTCTTGTAATGATGGAGGTCATGCAAAAGTCTGAGGATTGACCTCATCAAAAGATTTCAAAATCATATTTAGTACCAGGTTCACCTGAAGTCATTATTAATTTATTTACCAGTTGCTATTAATGAGAATTAGAAAGCATTTTTTTGTTCATATTACTTAAGGATCTTTTTCTTCTTCATTGGGGTAACTTTTATAGGTGTCTAATTAGCTGGCAGAATTATTTATTACTAGATTGTTGACTACTTAGAACTTTTCTTAATGGAATAGAATATCTTTATTGGCCAAGTGTGATTGGACACACAAGGAATTTGTCTTGGTGCATATGCTCTCAGTGTACATAAAAGAAAAGATACATTCGTCAAGAATCATAAGGTACAACACTTAATAATAGTCATAGGGTGCAATAAGCAATCAAATCATACTAGGAAACAGTCAATATAAATCATGAGGATACAAGCGACAAAGTTACAGTCATACAGTCATACAGTCACAAGTGGGAGGGGATGGGTGATAAGGAGTGATGAGAAGATTAATAGTAATAGTAGTGCAGAATTTGTAAATAGTTGGACAGTGTTAACTTGTTATTACAGCATATGGATCAGGGAGGTTAGAACAGAGACCCATCATTAAGATTAAATTTCTCTTCCAGGATGGTAATCACACCTCTATATTTTAATTTTCTCATTCACATCTGCAAATAATGTATATACAAATAACTCATATCTGCTTTTATTGGTAATGTTCTGAACCTACCTATAACCTCTTCTATGATTCTACCTCTTATCTGTGGTTTATCTTAGAGAAAATGGCAAATGAATTGTTGGAAGAAATATCCACCTGGTTCAGTTCCAAGTCAGGAGGAAGGCACTGGAGGCTGATTGGCAAGAGGGTCCACTTATTGATAAAGCAGAACAACCAAGTATGTGTGATTCTGGGCAGCTGACCACATGGAGCTGAGGGTGAGGGGTTTTTATACCTTTTCTTGAGCTTTGCATTTGAGCTTCCTGTTCCTGTGCAAGAACATGTATTCTATCGGCTGTTGTCAGACGTCCATGGTGCCATGTACAAATCCTAGGAGTTTGTCTGAGCTAAGCTTGGTTGAAGTTTGGCCGATGCAATGAAGGGGCTTGCTGAGCAATTCCTATTATGGCTGAGGGCTAACCCTATCTTTGCCTCAGGGAGTAATGGATTAGCATATCTGCATTTCTAAAAGCTGGCTTCAGCTTAGTATCTGCTTGGGGGCAGGGAGCTGCGGCTGAGCTTCTGTCTCCCTTAATATTATTATTTCTTTTAGGGGAAATATCCTGCCTTTTTAAATATTTCTCAAAAAATTTCATTCTTCTAGGAGATGGGTGGGTGCTAACTTTCTACAGGATGTTCAAGCTTAGGCATGACAGTGAGATGTGGCTACTCTTTGTATTCTAAAATAACACTTTTTCATAAAATGTACTGTGAATGCATGTTGGTAATTCAGATATAAGTAATTTGTTTCAAAGAATTGCAACAATATCTCTACTTTGGTAGAAGGTGTGAAAATATCTGTAGAAATGCACAAAGATTTTACATTCTGATTTCCCCCAGTTGCTTTTATTAGTTATCTTACAACAGCACTACAATCCTTCCTTCCCCATGAAAGAAATAATATTAAACATACCAAGATTCCCAGAATTCCTTTTTTTGTTGCAATTTGAAGAAAAGGTCCACTTTAGGGAGCTGTATGCTCTGTAATTGCATTTTTTTTCCCTCTTGGCCTTTCTTGATTGTGGCAAATATCTCAGAAAAATGATGATCAGCTCAAAGGCAAGTACATTTCTATTGCAGCTATAAAACACATGCACACTAAACCCTTCACTGAATATTGCTTTCACTAAGCAAGATCTATTTCAAGAGGACAAATGTAACAGTAAGAGGGTGCTATATTTAGAAAAAAAGAAAAGTGCCTCAAAAATATTGGAAGAAGATTTACAAACAGAAATAATAGCAGCTTAGGAAATTGCTCCCAAGATGACTTTTGATAGATCTTTGCTGGAACAGCTCCACATCTACAAACTTGTCTTAAAGCATTTGCAGTCAAGCTACATCCTGAGAATAAAAGAATGTAATGTCAGTCAATGTAATGGCTGCAGCCAGAGAAGAGAAAAGATCCTCAAGGTGTGCCTGATGAAGACTCAGGAATTTGGTTGAAAACTGTTCCTGGAACAGCATCTGTCAGGCTTCCACTGCCCAATTAAATAATTAGAACCTCTGAGTAATCCCTTCTCATGGTCACTCATACCCTAGTCACCTCCCATCTTGACTATTGCAACATGCTCTACATGGGTCTGCCCTTAAAAAGCATCCAGAAGCTCCAGTTGGTACAAAATGCAGTGTCCCTCATAGTCCTGGGCAGACCTTGGTGTGCACATGTATCACCTTTCCTGTGGGAGCAGCTTTGGTTGCCAATTTGCTTCCAGGCGCAATTCATGGTGTTGTTGTCACCTTTAAAGTCCTTCATGACTTGGGTCCAGGTTATCTGAGGGACTGTCTCCTACCTGTCACATCTACCCAACCCACTAGAGCGGGAAGGCAAGGAATGTTCCCCTTGCCTTGGGAGATACATCTGGTGGGACCCATAAGATGGGCCTTCTCCAATGGTGGCTCCGGCTCTCTGCAACACCATTTCCCCAGAGGTTAGAATGGCCCCCTCTCTAATACGCTTCTGAAAGGTGCTGAAGACCTGGTTTTGCCAGCAAGCCTGGGGAACTCAGAGAGGAATGGAGCCCATTAAATGGCTTGTATAAATATGTGCTGTCGGTGGGATAGAGAGTGGGGCGGGGGCTATTATTCTATTATTTTTTATTCTTTTCTTTTATTATTCT